TTTATATAATAAGATTCGAATGTTTCCTCTGCTTTTTTATTTCTTTTATCATGCTTTTCATATCTACCAACACAATAAAGATTTAAATTCTTTCTGTTTACTGTAATCACTCAAAAAGACTCACGAGCAGGTTTTAACTTCTTCATATTGGTCACTTGAAATTTTAATTTTATTTTGAATTGATTATTAAGTTTTTTTTCTATTTTTTTAATATTTTTATCATTTGAAGCTTCTTGTTCAGATTTCGAATAATTATAAATCTGACTAATTGTTTTCACCGATTGGTAACAATCTCAAATAATGATCAGATATTTTAACTTCATTCACTTTGAAGGTGTTCTTGAACTTATCGATTATTCAAATCTATATTGCCAAAAATTAACTCTGGTTTTATCTTCTGGATTCTTTTTAGTTGGCACCTATCTAAAGATTTACTATCATTTTGATTACGTGTTTTGCCAGGTGTTCGATGGGTATTCCATCTCAGTATAGCAAAACATTTGATTTAAGTGAAGATTAAAGATTTCTATCTATAGTTTGAAGTGTTGTCTAAAACCAAAATATATATTCTCTTTACCTTAATCACTTTTAGAAAACTCATCTCTATTAAACATCTAAACGTAAAACTTCATGACTGATATTTTATTATAGATTGAGCATATCAGAAAAGTTATCATCAAAATGCTTAGAAACAAAATTCCAATTATTTCATTCTATTTACAAAGTAGTAATGACTGCTTCAGCCAAACAAAAATCTACCTCGCTAAGAAATGCTTTCAATTGGCAAGTTTTTACTTCTATATATTGACATTCTTTTACTTTTATTTTGATGATTGTATTCCATTGATATTTTAACTAATTATTCAGACAGGTTTTTGAAAACTCCAGTTTAATCACAAGAAAGGTCTATAAACATATTCTAAATCAAGAATATCTAAAGCCAAATTAATTTCACTATTCGATAAAGTACTTTTATAAATATGAGTTTCACTATTACTATCATCAATCAAGTCTAAACTCATATTAGAAAAAAGTTTACTAAAATCTACTTTTTTAAGTTGAAGTAATTCAAATTTAGAATAATTCTTTTTAATTTTCTCCTTAACTTTTAAATTGATCTCATACTCCTTTCTATCTATTACAACTACAGAAGGATTAGTTTTTTTTCTTCATATTTAACTATTACAGAAGATTCATCAGTATTAACAAAACAATTAATCTTCTTTTCGGTTAAATCATCAAAATATTCATAGTAACCTTTGTCAAGATCAATTGTTAGATCAATATTAGAATTAGACCCATTATTAGAATTTTTATATATATTGTGTTGGTAGATATGAAAAGCATGATAAAAGAAATAAAAAAGCAGAGGAAACATTCGAATCTTATTATATAAA